CTACGTCAGCACCCGCAGGGGAGGCAGCGTCACATGAATAACTCTGTACAGCTCTGTCAGAGGCTAACAGATTTTTAACACATCAATATTTTAAACTCAAATCTGAATATGATTATGAAAAAAATGTCTTTTACTGTCAATGCAGTCAAATAAAAGGGTTTTTTTCTTTTAACAAGAAGTGGCAAGAGACGGAAGTCACAACATGGCAACTCTACGTCTATAAAAGTATTAATTTATTATCCAGAACTGGGGCAGGCAGTGTGTTGACTCATTAGCACAACAATTTGGAGCAGATTCAGAAGTTGTGGCCTGAATTGTTATTTATTATAAACTGACCTGGTATTGCTGCACAACTGATTCTCACCCAGGCACTGAAACTCTTGTAAAAGCTAACAAAATGAGTGTATAAAGTGAAAATATGCTGACATTCATAGAAGTAAGCAAACCATCCAAAAAAAACTCCAAACAGTTAATGTCTTTAATAAAAAATCATTTTTTTTCCCCCAAAAGGAGCACACTATTACAAGTGTATTATAGTTAAATTAAAGGATCACCATCATGACTGAGGATGTCTTCATGTATGAAGTAAAATCTTCCAAATAATTCATAGTCCATTTTCTGTACATTTCAGCTTATCAAAATAAACTGGAAACAAATAATGTATTTTTTTTTTGTCCCTACCACCATTTCTCAAAGAAAACACAGTTTCTAGGAACACCAATGTTAGACAGTAGTTTGGATATAGATTCTATCATTGGAGGTGGACCGCAGATGTACCATAAAGTATCCTTAGATGCGTGTTTTTCTAGATCCTTTTCAGATATTCTTCCCTCTGACAAAAAAGTAGGAAATGAGAACAGAACTATTAATCACAAAGTCATTTCAAAAAGAATGACTGGTTAGAGGTATTTCAAGCGCCATTTCTTAAAAATGCCAGACTTGTTTAAGGGTAATAGGTATCAAGATTTAAGGCTTCCAAAACCATTTGTTCTGGGAATTTAGATCAGTACTTCCAGTTGGAATGCATGGGATATTAGTCACTGAAGAGGAACATGGCTTACGTACAACTAAACATCCCACATTCCAATGAAAAAAATAGGTTGGTATCTCTAACACAAATACAAAAGAAATGGAAACATGATGAAGTACGTCTTACAAGCAGTCAGCTTATCCTTCATCAATCCCACCTTAAGCTAAGTATTTCCTTCGCTTAATAGTTTCTGAAATAAAGTCTGCAGTGGGAAATACCAGTATAAAGTTTGGAATTAACAGGGGCGGTTTACTAGAAATGAAAACAAAAACTGCAAAGGGAAAATTTTTCTCCAAAGCATAATATGCACAGTGAAATTATGTAGGTTTAACTCACATCTCATTTTGAATTTTTAAATGTAAAAATACTAAATGATGTATATAAGCATACATTAGAACTAATTATATTAAATTTCATCCTCTAGGATTTAATCAAACTTAGACTTCAGAAAATCATCTCTGTGCATTGCCATTATATTTACCTGTAATGTGTGGCTGCAGTTCTTTACAGATCTGTGAACTCTGTTGGGTAACGTGGAAACGACATGCGATCTTTCCAGGAAATGCATTCATCAAACCAAGAATATTTTTCTGTAATGTTAAACACACTTGCTTATACCACAGGCCATTAAATCAAAGCAGATGTATGCCTACGGTCCCAGAACAGCACTGATGATCACCAAGCACCAAGCCTCTTGCTTTCAGCACTGAGAACTCGATGGGCTTGATTTCACATGGCTGACCTGCACACATACACAGAATTCCCGTATCTGGAACGTGAATACACTACCAGCTATGCTGTTAGTGCTTTTCTCCTTTTTTTTTTTTTTTTTTTTTAATAATAGGGTGCAACTTGTAAGATTTGGATCTAAGAACCAGTTCTGTCCTTTCCTAGACATATTTCTTCCCCATATAAATCCTTACAATTTCCTCCTTCCATTTCCATATGGGTTTTCCACTTAAAAAAACAACCCTGCAGTATGTATTTCCCATTTGTTAAGAACTTTTTGAGTCTCGTCCGCTTTATCTGGTAAGATTACTAGACTTCTTACTCTCTTGTACTGTGCAGGTAAAACCAACTACAGTGTAATGCTAATGCTATTTTTATCAGAGCAGAAACTCTGTAATTTTCACTTCCCTAAGTCACAAATGTGATAGTTACCACCAAAAACCCAGCTGCTTCACTTCAAATCATAGTAAAAAAAAAATATCTGTCAGTCAGATGCTGTAGTTAGTTCTGAAACTAAGATTTAGTTACTGTCTAGATTCTGGGCTGTGAATAGGTAAATTAGCTCATTTTGTTACGCATTTGTAATAACTAACTATTACACTGAACAGTCTGCTGTCGGTTGCTCAACAAAAAACCCAGACAGATTCTACTTAATAGACAAACCTGTTTCTGATTCCCTAAAAAGATGTGGAATGGAGACACCGCTGTACGCTGTTCTGCTAGCACCTCTAATACGGGCCTGCTTTCACTGGTCTGGATGCGACTCTGAACTTCTGTCCCACCAGGTACAATTTGGTAACACTTTTGCAAACACATCCTGTTGAGTTGAAGTCCTAGCACTGAGCCAGAAAGCATGCCTAAACTAGGACTTAACCTGCTGAAATAATCCTGCAGTCATTCACAACACCAACTCATAACCTATCACTCTAATTCAGTGACACTGGCCAGACAGTGGGAGGTATCGTACATGTGACATGAACCACCAAAGTCCTATTTCCTGGTATCCCAGGGCAGGAGGCAGGCTCTTTTTAACTGAATGAAGGAGAACTTCCAACATCTCAGCAGCCTCTTCGCAGCCTGGTGAGTTCGTGTACAAAATGAAGCAGACAGCTGAGCAACACAGACCTGAGGGAAAAGACCTATCCCCACTGTCCCAGCCACGCCAAGGAACTCAGGGTCACGCTCGGTCCTCACACAATCAGGAAAACCCAGCTAAGTGGCATCTTGAAGCAGCAAAGTTAGTACACTATCCTTTGTAATTCTATTCTAACGTGGTATGTGGGTGACATTATACATAGCTGCAGCTTCAGGGAACAGGTCCTCCAAAACATTAGCAACAACCTAGCAGTTTCTTGTGGAGATTTGTACAGATACATCTCCCAATGACATAAAGATTAGTGATCCTGTTTCCTCAGTCCTCTGCACAGAAGGAATATTCATATGCATGTTCTGGATTTGAGGGGCATGTGAAGACTGAAGGGAAGGATATATTGTAAGCACAGCAACATATCGTTGTGTTCTCTTCTGTCCCAGAACCTCTAATGCAAAAGCTCTGCTGAAGTGAAACTTGGGAAATGCTGGCTCCTGCACTGGAAAAAAAAGTGCACGCTGAGAGCAGACTGGGAGATTAGCAGTTGGCTAAATGGAAGAGTAGATAAATTGCAGTTTATTATTCTGCTTCTAGCAACACACACATGACTTCTCAAAGAAAGCAAATGTCTTCCTATCTAGAAATATGGTAGAAGTACAGACGAAAAACTAGTGACGGATCCTATATGCAATTTCTGGAATGATGGTAGATTTTCACCTCTATCTTGCAATCAAAAGCTTTCAACACCTCAAAGAAATATAAATCATTAGGGATGCTTCTTTACAGAAGCTGTGACATTTGACCCTAAAATCTTATCAGTGACCCTGAATGGCTGAGCGTGACAACTGATCTTTAACTGCTAAGTAAATGTTAATGAAGTACTATAACAAACTTTTTTATAAGAAGTGCTTATATATCCTTCATTCATAGCCTAGTACCCAATAACTAACAAACTTTTTTATAAGAAGTGCTTATATAGATCCTTCATTCATAGCCTAGTACCCAATAATAACTGATGCATTATCAATAAACCTCCCCTATTATTTCAGAAAGTATTTCCTTTGGATATAATTGCTCTTGCTAGTCTTTAAATTCAGTATGATCTGTACTGAGATGATGTGGTTACGATATTATAGCATATAGCATTATGCATACTATTAGTGTATATATACACACATACATAATCCTTAGTATACTATGATGCTCTTATGGCATTATAGTAACATACAGTTATTTAGGGTTAATTGACTTACCAGTGAAGTCAATGAGACCAGGTATGTCCAATAACATCCTTAATTTACACACTGGCATAATTAACAAAATGCACGTGGGATTCGAGGCAGGAAGGGACTTTTGTCTCTATTTGTACAGTGTCTTACACAGAGGAGCTCTCTGTAATTTGGCAACATGCACTAGTAGCTGCATATCTCTGATCTATTTTTTTAAAAAACTTTTTATTTACCTTAAATAAGAGTTCACTTGTATTTTTTGCACTGTAGTACAGCTTCACTGTTCCCATTTTGTATCCATTTCCTTTACCCTCTTGGTATCCATGAAGATCTGCTATATGCAGCAGTATAGAAAACAATGGGTTAATTCCAACACCCCCTGCTATCAGCACTAGTTTTACAGGGGAGTCACCAGGCTGAGGATCAAAGAAGAAATCACCTCCCACTCGCAGAGCCACTTCTGAGTCAAGAGTACACTAGGATGGAAAAGAAGATATTTATTTTCAAACTAAAAGCAAAAGTCAAAATATTATTCTTGCACCACAGTCACAAGACTTGCTGGGCTGTGATTTTTTATTTTTATTGACTAGTGAGGAAAAATGAAGTACTTTTAAATAAACACAGTTTCCAGCTATCTGTAGCAATCTGTTTCAGTGTCTCTAGGGATCTAGTTCTACTTTCAGAAGTTTCAGTCTTCTGATAAGGCAGTATGGTGACTCCCCACCCCCTGTAAGAGCTGAAAGAGGAATGATTCATGCAAGAGTTTTTTAACAGCAGTACGTGGTGGTAAAAACACGAGGTTAACATGTGAGATCACACTTTTACCCAAACCCAGTCTCATGTCAAAAAAGGCCTTGCTATGAGGTCACAGAGGGAAGTCAGAATGAGTTGCACAGACGCAGAAGGTTTTTCCATCCTGATTCCTAAAAATTAAAAAAAAAACCCAGAAGTGAAGCCAGTATCCACAAGAATATTTCTTGCAGAACCACTTCTGCATTTGCAACTTCACAGTTACAGAAGAAAAATCAGGGGAAAACCTTCTCTCTTCCTCTCCACTTGTACATAAGAAAATATTCCTTAGAGAAATTTGCTGAAGCTTTTTTTTTTTTTTTTTGATACGTGGAAAACTAGAGCTACAACAAAAAAAAACAACATTTGGGTCAGTATCTTCTTGGTAAACCAGCACTACATCCCTGTATGAAGGGTGAAAGTGCAGTACAGAGATGTCAGGTGAGTCGCTGTAAGCTAATAGGAGAAAATAGGAGCAGAAAACAACTCATTTCGGGCCATATATAGGGTTTAAAAAAATAAAGAGGATAGGGAAATTAAGGAAGGTGGGAAAGGAGGAGAGAAAAAAAAGTAAACCTACAAGAACTGCTGAAAAATTAGCAGTTAGTCATTTACAGAATAAAAACACTTCCTCCAAAAAATCCTTCTGATATCAGGAAACAGTAATTGAAACAGAAGGATTTTCATTAATGACACCTGTATAGTAAGCAAAGGTTTAAACTTGTAACAATTCCACCAGGAGGAGGAAGGAGGCCCTTTGATGCAGGCACTGCACAGAACACAGAGGTTCCTACAGTAGTGAGCATGACCATTTAAAAAAAAAAAAGTTTTTTGCCTTCCTTAATCATTGCATAAAGTATTATCTCTCAATTATAGTGTAAGACAATCAACATTTATCTGAAATTAATTTCTCTCTCCCTTTTCAATGAACACTGCCAGGCTTTCCCACCACATTCTACTTTGTTTCTCCCTGAAAATGCTTATTTTCACAAAGGATACCATATTCTATGTCCTCCTTCTGCCACGTGAATCTGGACTGGATTCATGCTTCTCTAAACCAATCTCATTCTTGTCTAATCTGCCTCCTTAACTGGCCATAGCTCATCAAGATGGGACACAGGAAGAATCTCTCTTAACCAGCAGTTTCCCACATATTTCAGTGCGCTAGCAGTGATAACAGTAAGTCAGTTGTCAAAAAAACCCCAATAAATTCTGAAGTAGGGTGAAAAAGCGTTGTCCTTTAGCGTAGTTTGCAAATACAGCATTGAAATGGCTTAGACAGAGAAGTGAAGCAATCACTACATGTACATTTTTCTAAACAAAAGGCTGTATTTTCCTAAGCTATAAAGAACACTCTGCGGAACTTTATGGTTTTTATATATAGGAATATTAAAGAATAAATATAAGTATCTCTGGAAAAACAGAGTAAATGAGTACTAACTATTCCCATAACATCTTTTACCCTGAGATATCAACTTCCTTTAAATTAAGTACCAGAGGTTTTTTCACCCTATATACAACCTTTTCAAATTCTAGGTTGCTATTTTTTTTCATTTTCTTTCCTAAGGAAAAGCATGCACTTTTGTTGATCTAGAAGAATCCATATATACCCCAGAGGTTTCTCCACAGTATCAGTTTGACTTAGCTTACCTGCTAAAGATTTTCCTATAAATTCAACCAGAAAACTTAGCATCAAAAATCCTAAAAGAGTCTCCAGACACTGGGAATTATGAAGTTAGGCCTTCATATTCTATAAAGAGCAATACCAAAAACCAGACAATCCTCTTAGGCATTGCAGGGTCTGCCAGCATGTGCACTACAATTTCTACACATCATCTCAAAAAGGTTATTTCTTTTGCGTTCCAGTGGAGATAACTTGATACGACACCAATTGTAACACTGTGGATGGTCACATGCTAACTACTAGATTAGCACCACTTTGTGTCTTCTCAATTCTAGTGATTTTGCATCAATCTTTACTGTAATTCTATTGGCCACTGAACAAAAATGCAATATTTGTAAACCTAGAAGAATCTCTCAATTTAAATCTTGTAGCCACATTTAAGAAACACAAATGCCAGGCAGAGAACAGTAAATAGGACAGATCACAGGGGGCTGTGAAAAGAACAAAAGTCGATAGGACAGATCATCTATGAAATATAAACAGCAGCAGAAATAGGACTCTTCTGACTATGACTAAATGGGGTAAACGGATCAACAGAACACTGCAGGAGGCCAAAGTGTGAGGCTTTACTTTTAATATAGCAAAAATCAAGCCTTGGGTTATGTTAATATTACAAAAATATTGCATATTTAAAAGAATATTGTATAAATTGTGATGTATTATGTTGTTTTATCATTTCAGAAAAACTGTTCTAAATATCTCCCTTTGCTCCCCCTTAATAATCTATATTTATCTGACAACAATTCCCAGTTTATATTTGTTACAAAGATGTAACTTTGTAATGTGTAACACAGCCTACTCTCAGGGACACACTTTAGAACAGAGGTTTTTCAACATTTTTCAGTTCACGAATTCCAAAGGAGTGAGAACCCTTATACGCACTAACGACAATATCACTGCAAGTCCACCAAGCCCAAGTGGCGTGAAAAGATCACAATAACCATATTACCACATAAACATCCAATTTCGATCCCTTACTGAACAAAAGGTTTTAAGATTTACATTGTACTAAAAATGGGTACATTGTACTAAAAAAGATTTACATTGTACTAAAAACCAGGAGTTTTGCAGTCAATAGCAAAAAATGGCCTGAAATCACATACACCACCCACTCTACCCTTCCAAAAAAAAAAAAAGAGGCAAGCACAAGTAAAATCTCATTTACCTTGGTGTGAATCCAGTGAGCAGGAGGATGAACAGCGTACTTTACTGCCAGCTCTAATATTCCTTCTCGTTCCAACAGGCCAGGGCTTGAACATATCGAGAATCCCCCAACTACAGATACTCCAGGAATAAAGAAATCAACCCTAAAAATAGACCAGAAACAAAAGTTTAAAAAAAGCCAACAACCCCAAGCATGGAAAACAATAACCAAAACAAAATGGCTGCCTTTGTTTCAATTATCCTTCCTTTACAAAGACATCTTCATTTCCATAACATAACTTTTCCAAAAAAGGATTTAATCTTGAGTAATGCCATTTCCTTAGAATTATTTTAATCTAGAAACATGTCATCACCTCTGTTAAATGAGCAGGTTTTTTAACCATTCTGCTTTTAGCATTAGGTACCACATCTCACAACACACTAGAATTCTAAGTGTTTAAATAAATTATTTGCATAGTAGAACACAAACACAATATGGTCTGATAGAGTGCCTTAAATCCCACTCTTCTCAATCCCTTTGATGGGCTCTTCAATTTTCAAACATAAGAAGATTGGAAAGCTAATTTTAGGGAAATGACTTTTGATTAAACACTTTCTTTTCTTGGGAAGATGAAATATCTGAAGTAAAATCACAGTCTGTAAAACATTTCTAATGTGAAAAATCGGTTACTAGGAGCAGAATTGCTTTACCTACTGAACGGCAGTGCCCTCTGGTGGCACATAGCTTTTTCTAGGTGATAGAAAATTGAACTGGAATAACTAACTCCATTTTTTTAAAAAAAGTAAACCACGCATGGATTTCTACAGATTAGAAGGTAACAAATGGCTAAGCTTTTGCAACATCAGCTATTAGAGAGTACGGAAGGCAAGCCATTACTACACGAGCTATAATTATTTTCATAACAGTAAGGCTTTGATATTCCAAATAGTACCAGAAAAAGTTAGAAACTGGTTTATGATCTAACATTTAAACTCCTCTGCGTTGCATAGATCTTTAAATACTTCAACCACAGCCAGGTGTTTGGCTACTTAGACCATGGGACTTGCTTTGAGAAACCTGGTCTACTGGGGGCTGATGGGGTCCATCTGTCAGAGAAGACAAAGAGCATCTTCAGTCACAGGCTGGCCAAGC